AGCGTTCTGATGGCATTTTAGCCAAAGGATTTTCATCAAAAACATAATTAATGAGCAGAAATAAGTAATAGTTGTATTAACCATACATGGAAACAAATTTGTATGGGGCCCCCAGGAACCCCCCGTCATGGGTTTAATCTTTAGTGTAAATGAGAAAACTAGTCCTGAAACTCAAAGTTTGCTAATCTGCAGCAGTTTTGTAATCTGGATTAGAAGCTGAAGGTTCCTCCTCTGAGCGCCGCCTCCCTCACAGCTGCTGCTTCCTGCATTTATTCTGATTTCTTTCCCAACTTTGTTAATCAACTTAAATTCACTAATAAACTCTTTATATGTGCAGAGAAGGATCCATATTTCTACTGTGTCTCAGATTGTTAGCATGAAGCTTTAAAGAGTCATTTAATCCTAGCAGCGTCCGCAGTGATTAATGGTGAAGCCATAAACAGACTGCGGTCAGAGGAAACCATGCAGCTACGCTCATTGCTTTAGGTGGAGCTGCAGATCCACAGGTTATCTACATGAGAACAGATCAGATCTACCTGATTTACTCACATCTACACTCAGCAGTCAGCATTTCTAACCACGTTTCAAAGCAGCTGTGATTTAAGGAATAATAAGACAAACTGACCTGATTCTGCCTGAACCTGAAAGAAAGACAGAGAATTTATTAACAGTGAAAGTTTCTCATTCAGGTAAAACATACAGATGGAAAACAAAAAGACTGGATAAACTTAAAGAAACGATTTACTAAATGTTTTGACTTTGGTCACATCTTCTCCATCTGAACCAAGGTTTCTATTATTATTATTATTATTATTATTATTATTATTATTATTATTATTATTATTATTAACATTTTTGGGATCAGGTCATGAACTTACTTGGGTGTAGAGTCCAGAGCTCAGACAGAACAGCAAAGTCAAGCAAATACTTAGATCAATCTGAGGAGAGAAGAACCAATGTTTACATTCTGTAGCATCAAATCAATCAAATTAGTTATGTGGCGTTTCCTATGAGCTGTAATCTAAACATTTCTGTTACATCTGGGAGAAAGTGGTAAGAGAAGAACAACAAGGACCCAATATCCTTTCCACAGTGTCCAGTTTTCCAACTGGAAAAGATCTATTCATTGAATAAAAGATGCAGTCTGATGAGGAAAGCTCCGTGTTTCCATCTACCTACCTTTCCTGAGCAGAGATCAATCAGAACGAACTGTCACAGTTAGAGAAGCATTTATACATCTCCACATCATCATCATCATCATCATCATCATCATCATTACATCAAACATGCCTGCAGATGCAGAGACACCCACGGCTGCAGCTTTATCACCATATTACACTTTGTTCTTGGCTGAAGGACGCAGCTCTCGTTCCATTCCCAAATCTCTGATATGAAGATGAAACAGTGACTGAATATCCTGACAGAGGAACTGTCCTAATTAGATAAACTCCTGGGGAAACATTACTTCTGATATTTATTAGGGATTAACAAACTCAAACATCATTAATAACAATAATCCCAAAAGTTACCCCTGAAAAGGTGACATGTTTACTGTCACTTTTAAACAAACACTTCCATGTCTGTTTATGACCAGGAAATCCAAACAGCTGCTCTGTTAGCTGCTGGAAAAATGGGATAATATAATCATCTTCTCCATCCTGTCCTGGAGAACACTGTAAAAATCCAAATCTAGATAAGTTATTTTTTCTTAAAATAAGTGCATTTGTTTTTGGATTCTGTTGACATTTTGCCAATGAAACAAGACAATTTACACTTAAAATAAGAAAACACAAATGCATTGTCTTATTTCAAGTAGATATTACCTAATTATCTTATTTTAAGAGTAGAAATACCCATTCCATTGGCAAACTATCTCAATTACCTACTCAAATTAAGGGTAAATACACTTAATCTAAGAAATTTTTACTTAGTTCTAGATCGTTTTTCCAGTGAAATATTAAGACTCAAGGATTGTTATAAATGCAGCCTGAAAAAGAACAGAATTAAACTGAACAACCATAAGATTCCCCTGGAATGGGCCTTAAATTATTTTAACTGTTTTCCTAAAAAGTTAAATCAATCCTCTGGACGTTGTTTCCAAGTTTGAAGACGTTTCTCTTCCATCCAGGAAGATTTTTCAATCCAAAATGTCAGAAATAGTGTTTAGTTCCAGGTTTTAGCCTGGAACTAAACAAGCCTGGTTTTAGTTTAGAAACGGATGAACGGGTCCCCCCCCTTTGGTTAAGGTGGTTTTTCTTTCTTAGCATAGATGGTTTGACTCCAGAGGATGATTTTTAACGTTTCTGGAAGGACTATGACCTGAATGACTGAGAATCGTCACCAGCGTATTTTATCTCCATACTGTCACACTTATTGTCACTATAACCAAGCAGGGAAAAACTAAACGACCTCTCAGGTTTGTTACTAGAAGGGATTAAACAGTTCATCGGTTAGTTAATAGTGAATCACGGCATTCAGCAAAATCAGTAGAATTTAAAGTCATTGAAAGAACATTAGAGGATTAGATAAATAATGAAAGATAAACTACTAATCAGTTTGTAGTCAGCAGAGTCTAAGTGGCATCATATACCCAGATAAAGATATAGATTGATTAAACTGGAGGCTCAGGTCAAATCTGAGCTGTTTTCTAATTCTCCTGCTTTGTTTTAAAATGATCTGGTTAATCTGCTGAGCTGCTCTCACATGCGTCAGACATGGATCGCTCTGTTCTGTTCCAGCTCCATGTGTGATTCATCCTGACCTTAATCACACTCTAATGTGGTCAGAAGGAAAAACTGAAACTAGTTTTAAATTAAGATCATATAATTTCCCCATCTGGGATTTTATTTTCCCAAAAAGTAGAAGCCCCCACCCT